AAATACCTTGGTCTAAAGATAGCCGAGCTCGTGACCGGGGCCTTTCAAAGGCATCCACAGAGCTCAGCTGCTCACCCAAAACACAGGCAGGGCTCCGGCGCCACCGGCCAGCACGGTTCACGGCGGAGATGCCTGGCTGTATCACGGCGGAGATGCCTGGCTGTATCACGGCTCATCCCAAGGAGGATGCCCAGCCACCGCAGGGGAGATGGGTCTCACCCTCCCTGCTCTCGGGCGTCCTCCTTGCGATGCCCCAAAGGGACGGTCCCCACCCCAGGGAGGGCAATGTGTTCGCGTGGCTGGGAAGAGCATGTTGCTGCACTATTTTTTTTTTTTTTTTTCCCTTATAAAAGGGGGGTTTACAGCTGCGGGGAGGTAACCGATGTCAGCAAATCTCCGTGCCGTCCATCCTGGCTGTGGGAAAGGGGCTTTGCCACCCGCCCCCCCAGGCATGGCCATGGGCAGGGAGGGACCTTTAGGGAGCCGGTCCCTTTCTGACCCTCCCCAGGTGGGAGGCATGGAGCAACCTGGGCAACATCCAGTTGAGTGCAAGGAGCCGTAAACCAACCTGTGCTTGATCTGGGGATCCCATGGTGAGCCCCCTTCTCTCTCGAAAAGTCCCCTCCGGCAGCTGTGGGGGCTTGCCCCGCTCCCCTGTAACCCCCGGCTGTGGGGACCCCCCCCCCCTTTTTTGTAGAGGTTGTTGGTGAAGAAAAATATTATTTGTGGCATGTCGCTTGTTTGTGTGCTATCCACGGGTTTTACTGGTGAGAAATCCCATTTTGTCCCTGCTGTGGGGTGCCAAGGAGGGCCAGCCACGGGGCCCCAAATTCCCCCCATCGCTACTGCAACCAGTCTTAATTTTTGATGCATAATTTAATCCAAGAAGCATAATGATGCACAATTTAATCCACCTTGCCCAAGGTATATTTTTTCCTCCCTCAGCCCTCCATCCCAGCAGCTCCTTGGGCTCTGTGTGACAGCAAAGCCACTGCCCATGGCAGCATCGTGGCCCCAGCAGGTTCCCCCCAAAAAATCTCAGTTTAGGGGAGAAGGTGAAAACTTTGTGCTTGTGTTACTGTCATTGATCCTTACAGGTACCCGGCTTAAAATTTAGCTCTGATGACTTTTAAGCATCCTTGAGCTGGGTCCAAAGGGGGTCTGGGGGCCGGGGATCCCTGGAGGAGGTCTGCTTCCCGCCGGGGAGCGGTCCCCATCCTCTCCATCCTCTCCATCCTCCCCATCCCCGGGGCTTGCAGGGACTTCCACACTCCCAGACTATTTCAGGAGGGTTTAAAAATATCCCCCCTGCATTAAGGGACCATGATCCCAGCGGCGCAGCAGCCCCACGTGGCCAGGGAGCAGCCTTTGCCCCCCAGCCCCGGGTATGGTGTGTGTGTATCCCCCCGCCCGAAACCCCTCAGGACCAGCCCAGGGGCCGTATCCTGCGGTCCTGGGCGCTGAGCCCCATCCCAAATGGCTGCGATCGCCATGACAACACTGACTTCAGCCTACGCCACCTACTCGGGCTCCGAGCCCGCTGGGTGCTGGCTGATGGCTCGGTGTGGGCAGCGGTGGTGAGTACTCCCCGTGCTCCCCTTTTGCCCCTCGGGATCGCGCTTTTTGGGTGGAAAAAAAAAGGGGGGGTGTGTGTGTGTGTTGGTTTTTTCACCCCTGCAAAGTCTCTGCCAGCGGCAGAAGGTGTCTGTGCTTAAACGGGCTGGGCGAGCGGCGGGCAGAAGGGTGGCTGTGCTGGCAGCATCGCTCCCGAGAGCTGCTGCTGCCCGCGGGAGGTGTAATGAGTGCACCGGCCTCAGCTAGGGGAGCGGGACCGGGCTTTTGCTTGCTGGGGGCTCGGTGAGGTGCCGG